TACCTCCTGGTTTAGGTTTCTATGACATACGCAGGCGTTTTGTGGAGCAGGCAAAAAGGATTGATACTATCTCTCGAGCGGTTTTCCCCATGAGTTTCCTCGTGTTTAACGTTCTATACTGGCTTACCTACAAAGTTGTACAACATGAAAACACTCATGCCACACTGTGACAACACAAGAGACCATAAAGTGACTGGATTCATTAAATGTTGCTCTCTTCGCTGTAACATTTACAGGCTGACAGCCCTCAGCTATTGTTTACGCATTTCACTGATGCCAAAAGTGTCCAGAGCTACAGGTTTCATATCACAGAGACAAGACATTTATCTCTACAAGCAGGAATCACACAAAACATGTTTGTTTCTTACCTTGACTATGATTGATAGGCTGAGGAAATACATTAATCAAATTATTTAATGGCTTTCAGGGGTTCAGACAACTAGGATTTAATATTTTTTATGACATCACTATTTTAACTAAAATAATATTTATCTGTGGAATTACATTTTGAACCCTCCAAGAGGAAGCATTTCTTTAATAAAAGTGAGATAATCCATTTTTAAATGGGTTTCAAATGAAAAGTATTAACTGCCTAAAGCAGTAAATGATACATTGTCCAAAGATTTTTAGCTGTCACTCTACTGATATAATGGCATGGCACACACATAGCCAAATACAGAGTATCTTTTTTTAATTACTTGCCTCAACCATTAGTTCAAGTCTTCAGTTTTACACATACTGGCCAGATATTTATATGACCTATTTAATCCTACAACAAGAGTGAGAGGTTAATGTAATTTAAATAGTAAAGTGGTGTATTATTCCAGTTTGTTTCCATACAGAAAAAAATCTATAGAAATTTTAATTTAAAATATATAATTTTATCAAAAAGGTTCAGTTCACTTTGTTTGAGATTGGCTCACTTGGTAGTGAGAATGGTGTTTCAGGCTGCATGAGAACATTTACCAAGATATTCTGTAGCGCTTAGCTTGGACTAAGGTCTTCTCGGGTCTGCAGTACTGATGTGGTAGTAAATTACACACTGAGAAGAAATTATCTCTGTGTATTTTTTCTTTAAGTAATAAATATATCTGAAACTCTTTGATCTTTGGTCAATAAATGCTTTACTTTGAAATATCGAATGCATCATATGTTTCTTTTGTATGATCACAGTTTCAAAGATCTGTTTATTTTATGTAATGCAAAAAATGTTTTCTCTCCCTCTCTGCAAATGCAAGGATTACACTTAATTGGTACACAGCTATATTTCATTTTTCAAACTATGACTTCTAGGCCAGAAGCATCTACCCCACACTGAACTAGTTTTCTCTAGATGTGTCTTCCCTCAGTTACACTTCTCTTTCAATCCTCACTCCACTTTCATGTGGAGCGCCTCTTACTGTTCCTATAACTGAAGCTCAGTACCTCATACTACATGGGTTTTTATTAACATTTCTGTGTGCACATGTCTGGAGACTATAGGTCCTATCTCATTTTAAAAATACAACTTGTCAAAAAATGTCTCTGTCCTATCAATATTTCATTTGAAAGATAGCTGTCACATGCATATACAGTAGGAAAAGATGAGTTGCACAGATGACTTATCTTTCTAAATAGCATTAAAGGAACATTGAGAGGATTCTTGATACTGAACTGTTAAAGAGTTAGGGGGCACTGGGGTACAAATACAGAATAAGGTTTGATAACAAAGATACCTGTTTAGGGGTTATCGGATTTGTTAAAGTGAACACACGCACAATTAAAGGCATTGTCTCATATTGTTTATTTTATATTGAAAAATACAAAATATATCTTTATCTCGGTCTTTTGCTTTGTTCCATTAAGCTTGTCTTCATCAATCACACAAATGTAATGGGGTAACCAGATGTTACAGTCCATACTGGAGGCATGAGCATAAAACTCAAAAACATTATGTTGACTGCAAAATTAATCCCTCAACTTTCACTTCATCTTTAGTCTAGTGTCTGTGCTGAACATTCAAAGGACGGTGTATTTCTAGCCAGAAGAAGGAGCTGTTGCCTCTCTTATGTCCTGTGCCAGCAACATTGCACTATGCCACACTTGCCCACATAAGCCAGATGATTTTCACAAATTTACTGTCTAAGGTGAAGCTCATGTTGTTTGAGACTGACTCTGGCATATAGAATTACGAATATACAATTTCATATGGTAGACTATTTGTATTTATGTGTTATTAACTAACAAATAAACCACAGTTTATCTACATTTCATTTGTTACTTAGATTAGATTTTAATGTGCAGTCTGAATTGCTTTTAATTGCAACAGGCTCTGCAAACATGGCTAACAAACAATGCAAGCTAATGGCACCAATCCAATCAAACAGTAAGCATTTGCTCTTTGTTTGACTTATTAAATACAAACTATTAAACCAGATCAACACCTTAAATGATTTCACTCACTAAGTAGTGTGAAAGGATGGAAACTCTATCCACTGCTCCATCTAGACACTTACTGAGAATAATTAATAAATTCTTTGATTAAATGCATATAGTTACATTAATCCTCTGTTTATATTTTGCATTGGTGGTATACTTTACAAGAGATCCTGTCTGGCAGACATAGGGAGATTATGGTTATTTTCATATGTGTAAGGTGTAAATAGGATAAATTCAACAAGAAAGATCAACATTTTACATCACACAACATAGGAATAGGTATGAGTAGGCTATACAAAATGTGTTTTTCGTAGAAAAAAAGTGCACAGTGCATATTACTTATGTGTGCACATAGCTTACTGGTTGTACTGTGTGCTCATTTTAGCACACCTGCAGAAAGGAACAACAATACTACTCGATTTTTTCGACATGCTAAAAGTACTTAACGACGACTTAAGAATGTTTGACGACAGGGAATAGAATTTGCTATAACCCAGATAGGAAGGAACGTTCCCAGAACATTTAATAACCTTTTCTAATAATGTAATAACGTAACGGGAACGTTCTTGTAACAAAAAAAATTCTAGCTGGGAAGACGGTATTTTCGTTTTGCGAGTGGGATTGGTCTGCCCCAGACCCTCCACCAAAGTGCGTCCACTGGCTGGAGACGTGGCAGAGCCTCCAGTCATATGATTTTAGTTCCAATACGAACTCCACCCCGTTACTGCCCACCCTAGAAAGACTTCATATCGTTTGTCCCTTATTTTCTAGCGTGGAATTACAGTTTAAACAACTGCCAGTATATTAAAAGTTTTGATAAATATTCCCTGCGTGTGTCATCTCAAAGACTAGACCTGAATTTAGTAGCAGTGACCACCCAAAACTGTGCCATTTTTAGACGTTTACTGCTGACGTTTACAGAGGCGTCAAATAGCTTCCGTTTTACCCTAGTAGTGATTGGACTGTTCTCTCCTTGCCCAGCTAACATATAGGGTGAACAAGTCCGACATTCAACACTTCAATGGAGGAACAGCCCAAAGATCGGGCACAAGACAAGCAATATCACCACCACGGAGAAGACAGAAACTCTATTCAACATACCGTTACAGCTTGTCTAAAAAATGATCCGAGCCACTTCCAGCGCCAGCATCAGGAAACGCCGACGAAGAAAACAGGTTGGGCCAACCGGAAAAGTTAGCTAACGCTTGCTAGCCTGAGTCAGCTAATGTCAGCGAGCCGACTAGCATTTGCTAATTAATGTGAACTCTGATGTGATTGAAGGCTTAGCCTGCTAGCAAGCTACTAGTTCTGCATTATGTGCTGTCGTTCGGGAAAATGTAAGAAACGTTACGGCTGGTGAGTAGTTGGTCGATTCGCTGTCAAACCAGAAACCAACTATTAGGTTAGCTAGTGGCTAACTGACATTGCGTGACAGTTGTCGCTGGTGCTGGTTTGACATACCGGGGATTGACCTTGTGCGCCGGTTTCACCACCCATTTTTCTTTTGTAAATGCAGCAAAACCATTTAAGTGCACCATTAATACTGGAGCAGCGTGTGCTCTAAATGTATTCACTTTATGCATAGCGAATTTTCTTCAACAGTAGTCATAGTTATAGCTTACTAACTTCAGTGTGTTTTTGTGGCCAGCTTAGGAAAACGAGCCGGCTCCACTGGAATGTTCTGAGCTGCCATTTCCTGTCGGCCATGTTAGAATATCACTGCTAGCTAATGCTGTAGTTGCCCTGCTAGTTAGGAATCTTTTTTGTTGTCTTTTACAGCCACGATATTTTGCCTCACTTGAATGTATCTAGTTGTCGTGCATTTTATGTACTTGGGTTGCTGAGGTCGGACGGCTCTTATATGGCATAGTTAACTAACCAACGTGTTTATGTCAAATGAACCACTGGTTAACGATAGTTTGCACTAGCTAACGCTAGCCATCTCTGACAGGCATATTGCATGTTGTCCAGTCAATATGAAGCCAAGCAGAAACTTGAACACAACCAGTCGGTAAAGATAAGGATTGCTGCAGAGGAACATATAACATAGGTCACTGTAACCATCCACCTTAACGTTACTTTTGTTGGCACTTGTGTCAACACCTTTTGTTACCAATAAGCGAGAAACTACCTGGGAAGCGAGGCTATATGCAGAGGCTTGTGTGTGCTATACCCGCAGACGATAAAGGACAGCACCTCTGATTGGGAAATCCCACGTCTACACAGCAGCTTTCCATGCCTCTGTGCAATGCATTGCACCTATTTATGGTTCACCTCTAGTCCAAAAGCATTTTTAATATTGTTGTGAGCCCTCTTTCAGCATCTTCTAACAAGTGTTCTTTGATGTCAGATATCCTAAAGAAACACAATCAAGTTCAGTCCAGTATGTAGTTGACAGTTATGAAGTACTGTATACCAGATCTCCACTTGTTAAGAGACTGAGCACCCAGATCATCTTGTAATTTATAGGAGGTATCATTAAAAGCATACACTAGGAATGAATTACATATTTTATCTTGTCAGATAATTCTCCCATCTTTTTCTCAACTTTTTGGATAAAAGTTGCTGGTCAATAATATAGCTTTGTTAACTATAAACAACACTGATCATTGATGCTGGGATAATTTGTCAGAAAACAAAGGTTGTGTGGGATTCCTCCAGGTGCTCCAGCCTCCTCCCACAGTCCAGAGATCCTCTGCAGGATAAGCAGCATAGCTAATGGATGAATGGACAAAAACATTAACTACAAACAGAAGTGAATTGTTATCAAAGTTGTGTTGCGTAAATTTGTGGTTTGCATAGGAAATGGCACTGATATTTATATCATGTATTGCTCGTCATTGCATTATAAATGTATAACCAAATGTTTGTTATAGTACACCCAAAATTGTTCATGTAAAATCTTTTTATATATTTCATTTTTCATGATAAACTGACAAAAGAGAGCAGTTTTTGCAAGGTCATGGAAAAAATAGTTGGTGTTTTATCATTTCAGTAAACTAATTTTGTTTCCCCTTTTAGGCAATAAAAAAGTAAACATCGGTGATGAAGAGGGGGAGAAGTATATACATCGGTCTGACACTGTTGGTACGTCACATCCCCCCAACAGCAATGGCAGCAGACACATAAGTAGTACAAATGTGAAGCAAAAATCAACACAAAAGCTGTACACACCTGTTCCAAAAGTGAGCAGCAAAGGATTGGACCATAAGAAGAATATGGACCTTAAAAATGACAAGGAAAAGGCTCTTGATTTGAATCATCAGGAGGGTCAGCCTTTGGATAAAAAAGACTTGGTTCTGCTTCAAAATGGCATTGTAAACTGTGGCTTCATTACAAATGGCTATTCTAGCAAGGACAATGATGGCAGTGGCTCTGAAGGTGGATATACTACTCCGAAGAAACGCAAGGCCAAATGTAACACCAAGAACACTGATCATGTGATAAGAGAAAAGGAGAAAGACATGCAGCAGGGCAACACTACACAGGATCTTGAGACAGCTGAGAAGGGAGTGACTTCAAGACTTGATGGCTTTAGAGTTGCCCACAAAATAGAAGCTCAGTCAGCAGCTAGACGGGCTGTTGTGCCAGAGACTTCAATGGGTGAAACTCAGAGGAAAAGCTCTGATGGCAAAGCAGTTGGCACCTTTAGTAAAAAAACTGAGGAAAGGCACAAAACCAGGCTTTCCTCACCTTCTAAAGAGGATTCCTGGACCTTGTTCAAGCCCCCTCCAGTATTTCCTGTGGACAATAGCAGTGCTAAAATTGATTCCAAGATCAGTTATGCAAGTAAAGTAAAAGAGAACCTCAACAAAGTAGCTCAAGGTGGAGGAGAGGCACTGCTTCCTCCTGTTAGACTGTCGCAGGTCCCTATGTCTGCTGTGAAAACAGCTAGCTTTACTAATGGTCCTGTTTCTGGAAACGGAAATGGCTGCCCATCAGTGACTACCTTCTTTAATACTGCTGCTAGTAGTATTCCACCACCGCCATCTATCCCAAGTGGCGACAATGTAGCATGTCCTTTGGAAAGTAACTGTAGCTCCTCAACCAGTCATACGGATGGAGAAGCATATGAGCATAGGAAGTGTCCTCTTTTAAATTGCCCTTTAAATATGCAACCTGTGCTCCCTAGTGCTCGTCACCTTGACCACCCGGCTGCTCAGACAAATCAGAAAGCCTTGGGAGACATCTTCCACAATAAGTGGGGGCTTTGTTTCATCACTGAGGCCAACTTGGCTCCAGAAGGGGAAAATATGCAGGACACAGGGGACACAACTACTGTAGTCACACCTCAAAGTGAGTGTCAGGCTGATGCAGCCAAGGCTGTCCAGCCCTGCTTTGATGTTAGTCCATCATTCTTAGAGCCTGGTACTTTGGCTCAAGACCCTGAGAAAAGGACTTGTGTCCCTTGTACTCTGTCTAATGCCTGTTCTCCTGCTTGTGTAATGAGTGAGAAAGAGAACAAGCTGCAGCCATGTGGCCAGGAAAAGGCAAAACTTGAGGCCAAGGGTGCAGTTTCTGCTGTGGCAGCCCCCAGTAAAGACAATGGTGCTAGGCCTGCACAGAGCCAGCTAACCACTGTGTTGTTTGGCTCATCTAAAGAACAGGCCCACTGTAAAGACACTGGCAGAAGGTGTAGCTGGGGGTCCTTTGACGTTAAAGCTGCTGTCACCTATCACACTAAAGGTAATTTTAGCTATCTACTATATCAGATGGATTTATACAACCATTAAAGTTGTAATCCTTAAAATTTTATTAATGTGGCAGCACCTATGGTTACAGGTGATTTTATGCTGAGAAAGGTGCAAGTACTTCATGACAGTAGGGCAGTGTAACAAATATGAGAAATGTATTGCATATAGAGAGCATATATGTAGAATGTAAATACACTGAATAACTTGCACAAAAATGCATGTAGTAATATGAAAAATGGGGTTTTGTTTTATGAAAATTTTAAGGATTATAACAATGTCAAGTCTCATGAGATTTGATGTATCCAGTGTATGAAATGATGCGTAATGTCCTTATGCTATATATTTTGGAGATCAATATTCCATTTTATTCTTCATGACCAAATAATAAAAATGCTAAAATAATATGCATTTTATTTTCTTTCAACAGAAATGGAATCCATTTGCAACTTGCAAAAACAAGGTAAACTTGCTGGTCTTTTTTTTTAATTTATTTTTTTAAATGTTCTGATCCAAATGGGATGCAATTATAGAAAAATGAAAGGATGCTATTTTTATTCTTTTTAAAGTAATTTACAGAGCACGTTATCATGACCTTTGTTCTTTGCAATGGTTGTAAAGTTTGAAGCTGTTTGCATACTTTTATTTTTTCTTCTTCAAAACTCTGGTGCCTGTGCAGCTCTTGCAGCACATAATCTACATCAAAGCATGCAAGATCCACACTAAAGCTGGGTCTACATCGCATAGTGTGTGCAGTGCATAATATCTGGCATGCCGCTTTTGAGAGGCTCATCCTTGTGTCTACAGTCGATGCATATTCACTCGCACATTGGAAGTGTTTGATGTACAAAAAGCACAGGGAGGAGGCTACAGAAATACGTTTGGAAAGGAAAACTATGGTCCATAACTATGACAAATAGTAGATAATGAGAGAGTTACTGGGCACATTACAAAGTATCCAACCCGTGGTAAAATGCAGCTAATGAAAACTTCACACTTTATAAAGAACTGCATGTTCAGTAGGATTGATGCAATAGATGGGTCATGTGTTTTAACTTGTTTATGTGATTATTTTGGTGGATGCAAGTGAGCTTTTTATGTGCATACCTGTAAAAAAGTATGAAAATACGCCTTGGGTCACAGCTATGTGCATAAAGCATGAGTGGTACATGAGCCCGACGTGGGCAGCGTATGCAGCTGGACTGAATAATGTAGGAGCATATTGGTTGTTGACTCGCACATATCAAAAAATGTGGCTGAAACGTAGACACTACTTCAGTTGCACCTTCTGAATCCAAAGATTGATATCTGCTTCTTTTACTGGAGTTGCGATTACTCTGGTAATATCCTGTTATAGTTGATTAACAGTGCTCATAAAAGTTGTGCAAGGCTTTGTGTGTGTGTGCGGGGGGGGGGTTTACAATCAAAGTATAAGCACATGTGTACAACCAGTGACTGACATAAATACCAGTAACCTGCTTGGAAAGACCTATTTATCTAACTTATTGCTATACATCACTATAAGGATGCATGAATAAAATTTTTCAATCTAGTTGGGCCATGTGGAAGCATATGCACAAATACTATTTAATGCCTTTGATTTGGCTCTGGAGAACAGATACAGATGGGTGACAAAAGGAAAACAAAGTTTCTCACTAGGGTGTCGCCATGTGCACCTTGGCATTGACTCCTCAAATCTCTGAACTCAACTGGAAGGATGAACACTATTCTTCCTAAAGATATTACCTCATGGTGTTTTGGTAGTGGAGATCCTGACTAACACCTCAGGCCAAAATCTCCCATAGGCGTTCAGCTGGGTTTAGATCTGGTTCATATGATTTGCATTATTTTCATATGCATCAAACCATTCAGTGATCCCTCGTGTAGATGTACTGTCATCCTGGAAAAGACCACTGTTATTTAGGCATTTCCTTTAGTTTGTCACCCGTCTGTAGCTGTATAGCATGGACTAACATTAAACAACAGTGAATCATTGGAAGTCAAAATGCTGTTTGTTTTGGTACTAAGTAAAAGGAAGTGTGATGTACTGCTGCCTTATGGTCCTGTGAACTGTTTATCAAGTGGGTTTAGTGATGTTTTGAGACTGTTTGCCAAATATCTAACAAGCTAGAACGGAAGTATTCTATTGATAAATCAGTGAGGTCTGACTATTGCTTTTGTTGGATATTTCAAGCTAGTGTCACTGTTATACGTACCTGACTTCTAAGTTTGCCTGCAAAATGTACTGTAAAACTGGCAAGAATGTGATTTAAATCCATAAATGTTCTCAGTGTCAGAGGCTGTGATCATGCTGAATAACCAACCTTTTTGCCTCCTCTCTTCCCCCCCTCTGCTGTAGATCCAAAAAGAGTAGTGGTTTATGATAAGGCCAAGGATGGACCTGATCAGTGACCTAGATGCTCTGCAGTACTTGCATTCTTCTCTTCTGGGCACCGCAGTTGTGTACCTTGGAAATCAGAAATCGTCTTGGATAGATGAAGTGACAGCTGTGGAAACATTGACAGTTTAGCATGACACACTTCCTTGGAATTTTGGGTGGAATAACAGACTTATTTGGTGGCATCAGAAACACACACTCTCTCTCTCTCTCTCTCTCTCTCTCTCTCTCTCTCTCTCGACGTAAAAGTAGATCGGTGCCTCCCCTACATGACGGATGGATGCTTGCAGCTTTGAGCTGTGGTCGTTGTTTGTCATGCCTCGTTGGGGACGATTTTTTGGGATTTCAACAAAGAAAGGTGTAATGGACCACACCTCCCTAAGCCTTTATCCTGGTGTACTGCGGCAGCCGTCTGACTGTGGGCTGCCTTGGTCATTTTCTTTCTTCGTGCATTCAAATGAATTCACTGTAGATATGTTAGACATTATACATACATTTGTGCAAGCTGGAATTCATCAAGGAAGAAAGAAGAACACACTTTGCAAAGAATGCCTTGATGTTTTAAGGATATTTGGAGTCCTGTTAAATCATAAATTAGGTGGAAGCTCAGGTGAGGCCCTATCCAAGAAGAGATAACCTTGTCTTAAATCCTTTATGAAAAACCAGAGCCCAGAAATGAGATGCTTGCTTGTTCTTTCATACTGTTCCATCTGGCCTAACAGGGTGTGTTATGTACACTGCAGTATCACCCCAGAGCACAGGTACAGAAGTGTTGCGCCATTTCCTTTTTTTTAAAACTTTTTTTTATTGCAGGTGTGCTACAATTTTAAAATAACATTTCCATTAAAAACTTTTAATCGCAAAGCTTTTTATACATTTCATGCAGATTATTGTCAAGTCAGCGCAGGCTATTCTCTAATTCAGATTCTAATGTTTGAATTTTGAGTTTAGGAATAAACTGTGATAGGTTGCAAGAGACATTGCTTCCAGTAAGGTCTTCTGTGTATAGCAGCAAGACTCCGAATGTCCATACACATTATACTGCTGGCGTTTCTGTCTGTGGAACAGTTCTACTCCGTATCAAATGAACATGTTGCATTTTTTACAACTTCTTTTTTTCTTGGACTCAGCATTTTGTTTTGATGTTTTGGTCCTATTGGCATTTCTTGCATGTTTGCTGGTGGAAATGAATGAGATCACTGCTCACCGCCACACAAAGATTCCAGCAGCAACAAACATTGCAATACTAATCTAGGTTCCCTGACTACCCACATTGTTAAACTGTTGAAATGAGTTGTGCTGTTATGGTTTACTGTGGATTACCTTTGCAAACCAGTGTGCAATAGTGTGAAATGGGTTTATATGGGGCTACAGCATACTCACCCAAGAAGCTGATGTGGCCTGCAGTTCATTTGTTTGTTCACAATGTTTAAGGTGCATTTTCATTTTATAGTGCTTTTTTTTTTTTTTTTTTTAAATACACAAAAGAGCTCATGTTGAAAGATCTATTTAAGTCTAAGGAGCCCAAATTTACTAACTGGCCAGCTGTGATATCACTTTCATCACCAAATCAGGATTTGATTATTCAACATGATGAAGAAACTGTCCAGGTTTCCTTTCTGGAGAAAATATGATTTGGTTAATATGTGGATTAATAGCACTTTATGTAAACTAATTGCTTTTATCTTATAATTACTAGAGAGAGATATATGTACTGACGAGAAACTCCTTGAAAGAATGGCTCTGGGCTGTTACTTTTCAGAAAAAAATAAGTTGATAAATACAGAATTATTAATTGTAACTCAGGTAGTGTCGATAAAGCCATGACTAATGTTAAATGTTGTTTTTGCCAATGGCCCCTGCCATGTGCGGTTCTCAAAATTAGAATGAGTCGTATTATCATGATGCGACTTACCAAATAATTACTGAGGGAAACTGACATCCCATGCAAGGTGAAAATGTATATTTTCCTGATTATTTCCCCCTATTTTTAAAAAAAGCACATTGCTCCATGCGCTGTTTTCTATTTATTCTAGACTGTAATCTCTTTGCAATCATTGATGGTTCATTTTCCCCCTCGTGTTCATAGTGAAGCACCTTTTGTTTTTTTTTGGTGAACATCAGTGGTGTTTTTATGGGGTGGCTACAATCTGGGAATAAGCTTTCAAGTACACTTCTTTCCACTGTGTCCTGATTAGGCCTCACCACAGCTTGTACTTGTGTGCAGAGAGGAGGCCATAGCTGCAGCCGTGTTTTTGTTAAACTTGTCTTGACATTTAACTTCCACGTCTGATCGCATTCAGTTCTCTGGTTTTTAAAAGGTTTGGTGGTGTGTTTTTTTTTTTTTTTTTTTTTGCTTTGCTTCCAGTGTACAGCCTGTGATGAATGAGGGTATCGTCATATACTGCCCTCTGAATCAGAACAGCTGTGTCGGATCTGGGTGATGGGGAAACAAAGGTATTTGCGGAGATATTACCCATTAGCATTTGGACTTGTTTTTTCTGTGCTTGTGGAATTCACATTTAATCTAGCAAAAAATTACACAGAAGTATTTAATTTCTTGTGATTACCCATAATCTACAAAGTGACAGAATCACGTTACCATAGGGTTAATGTCAGATGGCTGAGTGTTAACAGTGGACAGTGATGCATCTGTAGGCTTCTACTGTACATGTAAAACAGGGTGATCAAAAGGGGTAGTGTGTGATGTTACTGTAGTCTCACAATGAAATGAATACCTTTTATTTTTTGGAGACCGTCCCATCCTCCTACCCTGAGGCACCTCTTTTTCAAGCACTTAATACAGCAAAAAGGCTATGTTGAATATGCATTTATAAAGAACTACTAGCATTGTAGCCTACAAACCAAAACCAGGTTCTCGAAGTAGAGTAGATGTTTAATCAGTGATTTCTGTTCAAAATGAACACATCACTGATGTGTGGAGAAATCAAAAAAAGCCTGATCATGTGGAGTGAATACCTCCACCCCCTCAGGATGTGCAATCACCTCAAGGACACTGACGCAGGTAGTGAGTGGCCAGTTTGGCTGCATCGTTTTGTGGGAGTGTGCATAACGAGTACTTCCTATAATATGCAAGCTCCTTGTCAATTTCACCCCCAAGTTGTTTCATGTTCAGGTGCCTGCGTGGGGGAAAAAATAGTTTG